GTAAGAAAATAAAAAATACGTGTAATAATGATTTAAACTGTCAAACACAAAGCGGTCACCGGTGACCGCGACCTATTGTTCTTTAATTGTGTCTATAAAACCGGTACTCGACGAGTTAAAATAATCTACCAGACGGACATTAAAATAAAAATTAGGCATCTACCCTTTTACCACAAAATAGTCAACAAACAAAAATTCAGACACGACATCCACTACATATGCTGTCGCTACATCGTAGCGTGCGCAGGAAAGGGGCGGTCTGACAGAACCAGTTCGGCGCAGGCGCACCGGCCACAACCAATCCTGCAACCATTGCCTACTGCCTCATATTCCCAACCACATTGTTTCTAATACACGTCCTCTATTTCTGCCTTTATATAAAAACCTGTAGCACTTGTAATTCTAGTTATTACTAGGCTTTAACTAGGACATTATCAGCTACTGTAACATGGTAGTCTATTTTTTTTTTCTAAGACAGTTACCATGATAACATTTACTTCAATTAACAGAAACTACCACTTCCGCGCGGTTTCACCCGCTTTGCTCGGCTCCTATTGCTCATAGCGTGATGTTTTATAGCCTTCCTCGATAAATGCACTATCCAACACAAAAATAATTGTTAAAATCAGACCAGTAGTTTCCGAGATTAGCGCCTTCAACCAAACAAACAAACTCTTTAGCTTTATATCATAGTATAAGAGTTTAAGATAGTATCAGTATAGGTAATATAATATAAGATATTCGTTGCTAGATTTCCGCCCGCGACTTCGTTCACATGGTCAAAAAAAGAAAATAATGTTACCTATGTGTACGTGTATGTCACTATCCAGCCTCCTATCTTCAGACACAAAAATCATATCATATTAAACACCTATACAAAACAAGTACACAGACGCGGGACACAGAAAGCTCTACTCTCTAGAGGTATGTAGCAACTAACCGTCCTACCATATGGATCTATCTGTTAAGATAGGTCATGGTCTATTAGTAGAACAAACTTTATCTTAATCCATCCAGCAGTTTGCGCTAAAGAAACGAACATGCATCTTTATTATTTTACCCTTTTTAAAAGCTTATGGGTCAAAAGAGTATAATGACTTTGCACCCAAAAAAAGAAAGAGACAAAATTACTTCCTCCAAACAATAATTAGATACGTTAATTAACTGTCTTCGTGCATCTTCACACGCATTAAATCAAGACATTACAGGATGTTAAACCCCTTTCGTTTAATTCCCATAACCACACATGTCCTCAAAACTCTAAAGAAAGCACCACGTGGACAAAACCAGCGCGTAAACGTTAACGTCACAAATAAAAATTATATGAGAACGCATCACTAACCGGTGACGTAGTTCGGTTTGGGTTGTTGACTTGCGTTAAGTTTATCGACATTTTGTGATTTGACTGAATGGTTTAGCAGAAAGGTATGAAGGTTAAGATAACTTTATAATTGATCTCTGAAAAGGATATGTGAAAGAAAGAGAGAATAGGTACATACTTAACTTAGTCCCAATCGAAACTCGGCACGTTATGGTTAGCACCTGTAATATAACATAACATACATATATAACATCACACCTTTTATCCCCGAAGGGGTAGGCAGAGGTGTACATTATGCCACTGTACAATGTAACACCCACTTTTCACTATTTATGTTGTGAGTCCCATATACCGGGCACAATTCCAGACTCCGTGCTACTGCTGTAATTTTTTTGAAAAACCCAGTATAAGAATACTTTGCCTGACCCAGGAATCGAACCTAAGATCTCTTGCCCGCCAATCGCACTTGCATCGTCACCTGTAATATCTAGATATGTGTTTACGCAATATAGGCGTTCAGCGCATTGCAAATAGCACCGTAGACGTTTTCGAAAACTTTCAAGAATGAACCAAATGGAATATTGCAAAACTTTAGAAACAGTATTTAAAATTCAAAAACAAAATATATTTCACCACAAAACAAATTACACTTAACCCGTTGAGTACCGTCATTATAGACACAATTAAAGAACAATAGGTTGCGGTCACCGGTGTCCTCGCGGTGTTTGACAGTTTAAAATTAAAACCTAACGTCATAATTATTTCCGGTCATCTCAAATTCCTTAACCGCAATCACGCCTCGGACATTCAAATCAAACTTACAATCCGACATTGAAAGGGTTAAGAATCCCATAAGATACCGAGATACCAAACGTCCATACATCATAACCCTACATTACAAAAAAAAGGTTAAAAGAAAAAAGTTTGATATAAAATGACACCACACATGTGCAGGCATCCGGCTCGGCCTACGCGTCATTAAAAACTTAAGCTGTCAAATGTAGAAAATCATTTGGTTTCATCCCGTTTATATTTATTTTATCTGTGGCCCGATTATAAACATATGTTTTTCGGTAATAAATCTTTGTCTTTGTGCGTCAAATATAAAGGATTCGTTGTCCAAGTGAAATGTATCGCGTTTGCGTATTATTATTACTGGAATATTGTGAAACAATGGCTTTGTTATTAGTTATTGCATTTAGACACAGGCATTTTATAAATAAACAGAATTCATTTATGTATTAAGTACTTGCTTACCAAATGGTAAGTCCAAACATCAAAAATATAAAAAAATATCTTAATAATATCCTAAAATATCCCAAATTACGTGTAAAATATCATTCAATTATCTACTATTTTACCAAAAAAAAACAAAAGCGTGAAAAACAATAAAAGCAAACGAATTACATCGTCAAAGCGTCTCGTTATGATCGAGTTATCGTCAAATCGATTCTGGTATCGATAACTTTATAAAGTAGCATGATTTTATCAACGTTTAGCCGATCGCTTTCGTTATTAACGATGTCTTCCCAAACCAAGATAGATGGTGCACGATTTTTTATAAGGCTGAATGCGTCTATACCGATGACGAATGACGGTGCTTTAAAAAAATTTTAACCTCTAAATCGATAATGAGGTTTTAACGAGCGGCCATGTTGATTAATTTTTGGAGGGAAATGTTTAAGTTTAAATATTACAAGTGTTTTAGTTAAAATCGAACTGAACCGGTTTTAAATGAGTTTTTATTAGGAATCATTAGTAAGATTATGTCAAATTGCTACTGAATCGATACAGTTTTTGATTTACAAGTCACTTATCTCTGTGTCACAAACCGTTGCTCTAGTAGGTATACTCTTAACAACGTAGGTACAGACAGAAACAAAAACTTTACAATAAAAAAAATTCTTCTTATTTGACATTTACGTATGTACATCGATTTTTTATTTCTAAGTTCTATTATTTATGACAAAAACGATTACAAACAAAAATAACATCAACATTAAACAATGAAATTGTGTATGTAAGAGATGTTTTTCTATGTTTTTTATTAAATGACGATTTTATAATTTCGTAGCCGCGTAGCAAGTTTAATAGACAATGTTTCCGTAGGCCGTAGGCCCTACGCCTACGCCCTAAGCTACGCCGTAGTCTCCGCTACAAAATTAAATTTTATAATGTTTTTAGCTTTATTCTAGTTAATTAGTTGTTATGACATGGAATCAAAAATAAATATGCAGATGCCTAATTATATTACAGCAAGAATATCTACTTTATTTCCATCATTTCAAGTATAAATTGTGAAAAGTTTATATAATGCGTTTATTTCATAATAGCTACTATTATAAATGAAAGTGATGATTACGCTGTGTCTGTTTCACCGTTAAAAGTAAAGGTGAAATAGATGTGACATAGAATTTTCCGAAAATCAAATTAACTCCCCTGACATAGAATTCAAACTCATAAAACAGACCACCTTTAACAACTGGTATAGTTACATTAAAAATACTCTTGTAATAACACTTTACTACCCACCAGTACACCAGTGTTGGTATGTCAGGTAGAGTAACATCGGAAACCTGATACATTGACAGTGGCTGTCAAAAATGTCAAGCCTGACCGCAGGAATGAGTTCCCATTACTGTCCAACTACTAGACACGTGTTTTGGTCATCTGTGACGCTATTTAACTTTAAAAGAAAGTTTAAAATCTATAATAATTAAATAAAAACCGAAAATACATAATAATGAATGAACCTCCTTTCATAGAAGTTTGCTAAGTTCACCCACTTATCACCACTTATATTTAATCCCATCGTCATAGAAAACGAATAATGCCATACGAAGGGACAATTTTAAACTCTGCAGTATCATTCATAATTAAGAAAAACCCTGTAATATACATATGTACTTAACCCGAGTCACCACGCATAGTCTACATAGTCTCACTTATGTTCGCTCAACCAATGAGACACACATAACGTAATGATTGCCTATTTAAATAAACGGATATTTTATAATATTTACACAGCAAAAATCTATCAGTCCGCCATTTGCATTTCCCTTTGAGCGGGAAAAGAAAATGGTTGCATTTTCCCGCTTTTTTTGTGACGCCACAGACTCAATACGTCGAGAAAGTAAATCATTAGAAACGTGCTCATTCTATAAGTTCCTTTTATCTTAGATGATTTCACTTAAGTATTAAAGCGCTATTATGGAACTGAGAAACAGAAAATTGGTATTAACTATGAGAATAAAAAAATAAATATAAATTCCCAAAAACTGGATTATTTTTTGTTAGTGAACGGTGCACAGTCTCTCACTACAGTGATCAAATTTCAGTAACTTTCTCATTTCACGGGGTCCATCACATAATGCTCTCTGGCTGAAACTACCGAAACGTCTCGTGGCACACGACGTGACATTTTATTAAATTCTTATTCGTTTGGCGCAGTGAGTGTTATGAATCGCGCGCGACACGCGATGTCGCGAGCTGTGCTGTGCACCCAGTCGCACGCCACCGCCCTTTGTGGCGATATGCGCACCATTTATCACACGATACCAACTTGCTCCGTTATTTCTACGATTAACCAAGAATTTTGGCACATTTACTTAGGAATTGTCATGCGCAATTTTGTGAATCATCCGACAGTCATAATAAAATTTATTTTCTTTACTTCCAGACACGACAACACCGTACGTCCTCTACAAAGATGGTGTGGAGCGAGCCCCACCAGGCACGCAGTGGGGCGGCGGAGTGCTGGACGGTGGCTACCAGCCCATGCAACACCAGAGCCCCGGTGGGCCCTCACCACAGCCCGAGCCCCAGCTCGCGTCGCCAGCTCCATCACCCTACCCACCCGCGCCGCCGCCCCCAGATCCATCGGCGGCCGCGGAGGACGCCGCCCAGCAGCTCGCACAGCAGCAGGCCCAGCAACAAGCGCAACAGCAACAACAGCAACAGCAGCAGCAACAACAACAAACTTCTCCAGAACATATGCAAGTGGAGCAACAGCTCCAAAGTCAACCACAACCCCAACCTCCCACTCAGGACCACTTAGACCGAACACCATGCTTCGTCCCGCAGCCAGATCTGCAGCAACAATACACGCCGTATTTCAAAGAAGCGAGACCAGCGAGCCACATGCTGGGTACTGGTGGCTTCCCTTTACACTACTTGAAACAAAATGGTGGTGTGCTATCCTTAGAAGGTCCACTAGACCAGTACGCTGCACCTGACCTGCGCCACCTGCCTGACATCGTGCAGCCTGAGCCACCAAAGCCACGGAAACATAACCCCAATTCAGAGCTGCGCTTGTTCAAGTGCTTGACGTGCGGCAAAGACTTCAAGCAGAAGTCGACGTTACTGCAGCACGAGCGGATCCACACGGACTCGCGGCCGTACGGGTGTCCCGAGTGCGGCAAGCGGTTCCGGCAGCAGTCGCACCTGACGCAGCACCTGCGCATCCACGCGAACGAGAAGCCGTACGCCTGTGTGTACTGCCCGCGCTCGTTCCGGCAGCGCGCCATCCTCAACCAGCACCTGCGCATCCATTCCGGTGAGAAGCCATATACGTGCGGCGAGTGCGGCAAACATTTCCGCCAGAAGGCCATCCTGAACCAGCACGTCCGCACACACCAAGGCGAGCGCTATTCACACATATATATCCCCCGGCCCCCGCGCGCGCCGCCCGCACTGACCACGCCGGTCACTGCCGTCGGCGCTCGCGCTCCCCGCCGCCCCCCGCACCGTCGATTCGGTCTCGCATCCATTGGCCTTCCTATCAAACAAATTCTCGGTTCCCTCGTCGCTCAAGCCACGCAGGGCGCTCGCGAGACGCGGAACCGACCGCCGGACGCTCCTGTAACCGTTCCTAGTTTGATTAACCCACTCGTCGGTTTTCCTCATTTTACCATGACACAGCAGTGACTCACCATTCTGTTCAATTATTACAGATGTTTCACCACATCTCATCTTCAAGAATGGAACAACTCCAACGCTGTGGCCCCAAGATGTACCATTCCCTGCTGACGAAAACAAAGAAGAGATCCAGTCAACTTTCGGCGACGCAGATGGACAGAACGGTGACCAGCGCGGCTCCTGCTTCTCACCAGGCGACACGGCGCAATATCCAGCTTATTTCAAAGATACGAAAGGTCTCAATCATTCAGTTTTCAGCTCAGGTCTTTCTCTGCAATATTTGAAAGGGGGTAAGCTACCTGACGTACTTGGAGGAAGAGCAATGCCTTTGTACGTACGATGCCCGATTTGCCAAAAGGAATTCAAACAAAAGTCAACGCTGCTTCAGCACGGGTGCATTCACATAGAATCACGCCCTTATCCGTGCCCAGAGTGTGGCAAGCGTTTCCGACAACAATCGCATCTAACGCAGCACTTGCGCATCCATACCAATGAGAAACCATACGGCTGTGTATACTGCCCGCGCTTTTTCCGTCAGCGAACCATCCTCAACCAGCATCTGCGTATCCACACGGGCGAGAAGCCATACAAGTGCACGCAGTGTGGTAAAGATTTCAGACAAAAGGCCATCCTGGACCAGCACACGCGGACGCACCAGGGTGACCGACCATTTTGCTGCCCAATGCCTAACTGCAGACGGCGGTTTGCCACAGAGCCAGAAGTAAAGAAGCACATCGACAACCACATGAATCCGCACGCAGCTAAAGCGCGGCGCGCTGATGCTGCTAAGACCCCGCGGCCCCTGCCGCCTGCTGCCGCTGTGGTGAAGCCCGAGCTGTACTTCCCGCAGTGCTATGCGCCACCGTTCCAACAGTTCCCCGGGTCGGGAGCTGAGTTCAAGCCCGCGGTGGGGCCTGGCGCGCCAGTGGCGTGTCTGCCGGCGCAGTGACCCGCGCCACCGCCGCGGTGGCACCCGGCGCCCTCTCATGCGCACGCGCACCACGACCTCTACGCCGCCGACCGCCTCTACAACTGAGCACGCGGCGACACAAGTATACGACCGCGCTATCTGCGCGCCCACATTACCAGTAGTCGATGTATCATTAACCGGATCGCTGTAAAACGAGCTTCGATCTGTAAATAACGTCCTGTTTATACTCTGTCGGGAGTTCTGTCGCGATGTACAATTTCAAAGTTCATCACGTGTAGTGTTACCGTCGAAGAAGCGAATACAGTTAGCGTTTTTGCCCCGTAATCGTTAAGTTACCAAGTAAGAGTTAGTTTTCTCGGTGATTCTCGATTCTGCTGAAATGGTCGCAGACGCCCCGAGCAGATCTAGCTCGGAGATTAGGATTTAAAACACTTCGTTGAAATCTAAAAATTAAGAATTGATCTTTTACCACATAACAATATTTCGCGATGAATGTTTCTGGCGCGACGATGTGCCTAATTGTAATGAATACCTATACATATTTTGTAGATGTATTAAGTTAATTTTATTTACGAGTATTAAGAGATAAAATCTGGCAAATTAATGGGGTTTATACAGGAATCCATGATGCTCAAAATACGTTAAAAGTAACGATAAGGAATGATAAGAATTTACGAGTTAGGTGTAAAGAGAGTTGAGACACGAGTCTAACGCGGGATGAACATCGTGTGAGGAATCATGAATGCAAACCAAAAACGTAGGTTACCTGTTGCCATCAACATTTACTTTGTTAGTGTTACGCGCGGTTCTGTCACATTTACATGTGAGACTACTGATGTCTCCGTAACACTATAGGTGCCAAATAGCGTAGTGATTTTTAAATTTTTTCTACCAGCTTGTATTATAGTTGGCCTAGTTTAGGTTGTTACCAGTTTTTTCAACGATGTGACAAAATGAGATGCATTTAAGAGGAAAGGGTCAGACTGAGAGAGGACTGTGATAGCTAGGTAGGTTAGGTGTCTATTTCGCTCATTTAGCGTTTAATCTTCGTGTGTCGAGACGAGATCGGGAATCGTTGTGGGCTCGAGTGACTGTTCGAAAGTTTTCCTTTACGTTTTGTGCAAGTGCAAACGATTGCTTTTTATGTGAGTCAATTCGATATTGAAATTATGTTTATTATGTTCCTAAATTTTAATGGTCTGTGGCTGGCAGGACGTGGCCGGCCCCTTCTTTTCCTTGACTGATTTGGTAACATTATTAGGATGAGTGAGATTAGTAAAATTTACCATAAAGGTGAAATGTGTGATGACGCAAAGTGCTTTGTAGTAGTTTGATCCAAGGGACGGAGGGTACGCCAGAGTAAATCTTATTTTTAATTTAGCTTAGACTATCGATTTTCGAATTACCAAGCAATTCGATCATTCATCGCGAAATAACTTAGAATTTAGGAAGAATAAAATATTATATGAATTTGTAACATTGATGGAGTATTCTGGTGGTGTGTATGAGTCTCAAATATTATCGCATTCACGTCATTCCCGTAAACAAAATGATGCAGCTCAAACAAATTGTAAACGTGGATATGTAGGCTTCATACTGAGCGAAGACACGGATATATTTAATATATCTGCCAAAAAATCAAAATTAATAAAAATCAAAAGATGGTCAGGCCCAGACACTGTACGAGTCTCCCAGACTATAAACTACGAACAGTGCCAGGATATTCCAGCAAACTTTTTAACGTTTTACTATCTCTGTTTGTACGTATAGGCAACTTATATAGCTTATTTTACTATATTATTGTGATGGTTTCGTTTTCCTACCGCATAATATGAACTGTTAATTAAATATAGGTGTAATAGTAAGGTGGATTCGTGGGAGTCACATAACCAATTTATTATTTGTCACTACGAAGTGATCGATGCAATATTATTTAGTGGGTTTATTGTGTGTTGATTTTACGACAAATTTATCGCATTGGGCAATTATGAAAATTAATCGGTCCGTTAGTTGTGAACGCCGGCGCCGGTGCAGCGGACGAATGGAGTAACACTGTTAACGAACCAAACAATCTTGTATACGATTCTTGTCGATTCCAAATCGAGTACCACAGATAGCTTTAGATCATCACCAGCGATGAGGACACCGTCACGTGCACCGTTCACAACTGACGCCAAACCTAGCATTTTATTTTCCCATTTGATTTTCCTATCAAACTTTCGGAGGTTTACAATCAAAAACATCGTTATCGAAGAAAATTAGAAACATTTATCTTCCGTGACTAACGTTTTCCACATTGTTCACATGTGATCCTCCTAGAGGGCAGCACCGCGCCGCCCCCGCCTCCCAACACAATAGCATAGGATTCAGTTCTGTTATAGTTTATACGACACACGAGCAGCCTTATACAATAATAGTTGATAAGTATTTTTATACAATAAAAGATATATTTGTTCCATACTGGGCGGGGGTGGCGCGTCGCAGCCGAGTACAAAGTTTGAATACAAACATACAACACAGTGCCATAGCCGAGAAATAACCTCAGATTTATACTTATTAGATTTTTATACCGATACAAATGGATTTAATTTTTAAATATGAAACAAGAAGTGATTAAGTATACAGAGATTACAGATGATATTTTATACATTTATTACATACCATATTATTAAAAAGGTAAATGTGAAATAGTCTTAAAGTTAGTGTCGTGTGCAACGTGCTAAGTACTTACTGTACTTACAGTCGTATTACTTATACCGGAGTTGTGGAAAATTGATCCGAAACGCTATATATCCATTTTGCACAACTTTTATATCTTCAAATGCACGTTGGTTTCAAAATTTTAATTTTCACTTACAACTTACATTCAGTGTGGTTATTGTAAATACATATCATTGGGAATTATTGAGGCAGTGTTGCAACATAAGAAAATAATTTTGGTTTTTATTGAAACCGGAATGTTGCAGACAAAAATGTAAGCCAACAAATATCGGAACATCGATCGATTGATACACAGAATGATTTAGTCATTGAATGGAATTACTGTAGTAAACATGTCCCAGACTGTTCCGTTTGTATTGCTCACTGTTTTGTTAAGTTTTGCTCAATTACACGTGTATGTATACCTATAAAGTTAATCTTATTAGTTATTATTGAGTACGAAATGATTTTGTAAAATATTCTTTTGAGAGCACGGTTTTGCTTTCTTATGAAACTATATTTAAGTGCTGAGAAGTTTCGACTGTATACGCAGTCCCAGTAAGATAACAATTTGAACATTAACATTGACAAATCTTGTAGTTCACAATATATAAACCATAGTAAACAGTGTCAAGCCGTATATAAACGTGCCGTCCAGTTCTGATCGGATATCCATACAGTATGTACCTAACTTGGATTATGTTCCCCGACCGCTCATTTCATAACATTAATTAGGTTTCAAGCATGTTCCTAACCTTTATTGATACGTAATATTTATTTATACACTACCTACAGACATTTCATACCGACTACCCATAGGATAGAAGTTAGATTCAGTAAATCATTTGCCAATTCTTGTCTAATAAATATTTCCTTGATTGGAATCAAATTCCAGTATCAACAAGTTTATATCCATCAGACTCTCGGAGCCAAGACCTTCGATAGCAAAGTACCTAATGCAATTTTACCCAATCATAGCTAAACATGAAACATCTTCGTATTTAACTCAATATCAATACGCCTACTTAATTTTGTGTATTTTTAAGTTGTTAAAAATATTAAAAGGAGAGAATAAGATTGCATTGTAAAACAATACTTTGCATATAACATAATAATTATCAGGATAACGTCAATTGTATTAAATACAATTATAAAGCGATGTAAGTGAAACTGTAACATTGCAAAGTTTGCTGAAACAATTAATTAATTTAGTTTTTAACACAAAACATTTACTAATTCCTTTCGTTTAATGCATTTATTTGTGATCTCATGGTGAAATTGTACGGTCTTATATATAAAAATTGGCGAATGCAAGTCGACCTACCGGGGTGGTTACTCTTGAAACCAATCTTAATGTCAATGCAATTTCAATCCAATAAAATCTCAATAATCATACAATGTCAAAACTATACAACCGTAGGGATTGAAATAGCATTCAGAGTACGGAATTTAAAGCCAAACTTAATACCATTTAGTTCATTCAACATCCACGCAATGCGGATGCAATGGGCGCTAATGTCGCAACTCGAGAGTACGAAATTTCACAATACCAATGTCGATGGATCGGAATTGGATTCAAGAGTAAGCCGCCAGTTCTGTTTCTAATGAAAAACAAACACATATCCACATTATGCATTGTTATTAAACTTGCAGCAATATATTATAAGTTATCGTGTATTCAACATTACCATTTAATTTTATTATACAAAACCAAGTTCCCATACATTTGTACATTATACACATAGGATACTTTTATGGTTTCGTCGCAAATTGAAACTGAATTGACTGTACCTACGTTTATCAGGTATTGGTTTATGTCAGTGTAATATGTTAAATGAGCTTAGCGTAACACTTTTTGTTTGATACTAAAGTTGGCTACGAATTATTTCAACGTCTTCCATTTACATAATATACGGCGTTTTTAATTTGTGACAATATTTTAAGTTTTTTTTTATAAATTGTGGTTTCACACATTAGCCGACTGCCATGTTGAAACCTACCAGAAAACGTTAACAGTCCTAATGTGTGAACCCGATAAGTGTTATTCGCATTATTGTATAGTTTATACATAAAATCGTAGCTCTGCAACTAGTGCAGTCCCAGTGCAATACACTTGATATTTTGGCGATATTATTGTATAATTTATTTTATAAATGACTTATTTTAAAAATAGTTATTAGTGTTAATACAAATAATTGGTAGCCAACATAAAAATGGCCTATATTAATAATTTGATAATGTTAGTATACACGTATCATTGTACCCACTGCCACTCGCCAACCGCTGTCGGAAACAGTAACGATACAAAGTAATAATTTTTTATCACAATAGAGACTTGTTGAAACAGTTCCACAGTAAAATAAGTGTTGTTGAATTTTTTAATAAAATATGGACATATTTAGATTAATGATCTTGTAGTCTGGATTGAGTTTTCTACAGATTTTATTAAATGCAAAGTTTTCAAGTATAATAAATGATGAAGCTACGTCGCCTACGCAGCTTATTTTTGCTACAATACTTATTTTAAGCCATACAATAACAGTTTTAAATAATAGTACAATACAATATACAGATTATACAATTATATACAATAGACATATACAATAAAGCGGTGATATTATACATATTTTATTTACAAGCGCTGTAGGCGGCGTACCTTGAGGCATAAGTTCGTTTCATTAATGGGTGCTGTTATATCATTAATTGTACATATTTATTGTAATATACAATAGTCTGGTAATTTTACACTGTTGTTAGGTTTCTACAGAGTTATCCCCGAGGCTGTTCCATTACTGATTAAATAAATACATATATTATTTACTCAAACAATATTTATAACAGATTTCCGTTTCTAATGTTATAGCAATAGAGAGGTTCATATAATGACAGTGAAATAAATAAATATTTATATACAATAAGACGGTCTGAATGGATCAGTATAGAACAGTCTCGGTCCATATGTTACAATAGAGTATATTTTCGTACATACCTACAGAGCCGATAGTAGACTATATGAAATTCATTTTAGACAATCCCAGAATACAAGATCGAACTTTTTACACACAACAGTAACAACAGACTTCAGTTTATTTACTATAGCATTATTACATATTTTGTGTTTCGAAGATAACAGTTGGTTGCGATATGGTCACAAAATCCAGGCGAAAAAATTGTAACGTTGGCATTTGTCGAAAATAAACAAAAAAAAACGGTATTATTACGAAAAAAAAATTGTAAATATATTTTCTAGTTCTTCCAAAATGAATAATATCAGTATTAAATACAAAATTCAACTTTGGTTAGGTCAAAAGTGTAATTGTGTGATCTATAGAGAATTTTTGCATTAGGATTTTTCTTGATATTATATAACTTTAAAAGGATATTTTAATTATTTTTTAGTTAAGTACATTATTTTCTTTTTTTTTTCTTTAGATTGTATTTTAATTGAATTTTAATGATCTTGCCTAGAATTGCATTTATGTTAGTTACTTTATGATACGTTTGAAGTTGATACCATCGTATTTATGTATATTATTATTGTATTAAGGGTTTTGTTTGTTTTTTTGTCATTAATAGAAGTAAAATGTTGTAAAAAGTAAGCTCGTTGTATTTTATCAAATAAACACTTTTTAGTCCAACTGAAGCAATACGTTGCAGTTTTATTTAATTGTTCTATTTTATTTTATTACCTATCCATTGAAATTAAAATTACCATAGGGACGAGCATAGTTAGCAGACTCATACTAAGAATTTTGACAACCTGAAACCCTATTTTTCGTACTTGCGACCACTCGTCTAGCGAGGTAAAAGAATTAAGTCTCTATAAAAATTAAGGAACAAAGCAGTCTCCAATGTGGCAGTGCACACATACATGATTTTTATTATAAAATGAGCCGGTAAACGAGCACGCGGGTCACCTAATGGTAAGCAATCGGCGTCGCCCATGGACACCTGAAACACAAGGCGTTACAAGTGCGTTACCGGCCTTTTGGGAATTGAGAATTTGAGGATTGTTGGAGATTCAGGGGATTGGAGAGCCTGATGAGGGGCGTAATTGGGCTTCCGGTAACCTCACTCACACGTCAAAACACAAGGTTGATTCACGTCATTCTGTGAGGCCGTGGTATCGGGATCAGATAGAATTAAATACATTGAGGTCTATCTACAATAGAAATCAACACACTACTAATGAAGACAAATCATGTATCTATATAATATAAATCGCCTAATCGATTTCGAACATGGTGGCCAGTCTGTCTAACTAGACTAGACCATTACGCAGGAGATATTATAGTGCACAAGTGTGTGCGCAAACACAAGTACACACTCTGTTCTCTCACTGTCTGGACCCTATGGGACAGTAGCCCGACACCACCGGGGCGAGATCAGACGCAGGACCAACGGCTTTACATGCTTTCCGAGGCACGGAAACACCGCCGAACTTCCTGACTCCGGGCTAATAATCGTCATTTTACTCAGAAAATGCCATTATCACTTTTTTGCCGGCACGGGTATCGAACCGCGACACGTTTCGCAGGTCACTCAACCACTGTGCCAACCGAGCAGCCTATATAATTCATAGGTAAACACCATCACCGACTCAGAACAATAAAAACCCCTATATTATAATTCAAAAAATATATATTTTCTACTTAACCACAACATATATATGTATAATATAATAATATAATTGTACACTATTATACTTATACAACAAATTACTCACCACGCCGAGTTAATTTTTCAATTTTTTCATTGTTATTGTAAATGCATAGGTCCATAAAAGTTAGGCTTAATAGCAGACAATGACCTAACATGTCTTTTTGAAGATCTTTTTGGGACCTGAACATGTCCTGTAAATGTTTGGGAATGTAGGCATGTGAGTTATTCGAAGATTTTTCGCTGAACCCCTGCAGCAGGATTTCCACTGTCTGATCTGTTGATACTCTTTCGTTTCCTACTAGGGTGCCGTATAATCTGGAAAAAATGTGTTTAGTCAGTTTTGGGATTTAGGGTAGATGACTTGAATACTGTTATCGACAAAAGTCGTGGATTTCGGAGAGATGTACTGTGATTGTGAATGACTTTTTGTATAATACTGCATAAAAGTGAATGTGATAATACATCTAAGAATAAATAAGTTTATAGCAGTCATTATGTTAGTAAATATATTATGTTATTGTATGATTATAATATATTATCTAGTTACAAATTAAATTGCTGCGCCCTACCAGGGTAATGTACTGAATTAGTTGTATGTGCTTCTTATTATATATGAACATTGTGCAATATGAATACCAGAAACCTGTTAACTCAGTTCCGGATAACCCGCCGTGTGTCTAAACGCGGATCCACCCGAGACACAATGTATTTTCTATTATCTATACATATAATAAAATTGTAGAAAAGTGCTGTCTGTACATTGAAAAAAAAATTGCAGGGGTTATTGTTATGTCGATGTCGAACCCAAAAATGTAATTAACTTTTTTTTTGTCTGTTTGTCTGTTCACGCTAATCTCAGAAACGGCTGATCCGAGTTGGTTGCGGTTTTCACGAATATACTGTGGTATGCTTCAGTCATGCTTTAGTGTTTGTTTCATGTCAATCGGTTCATAAATAAAAAAGTTATATCAAATTAAAGAATCATGTCGTGAGTACATATTTAAAAAAAACGCTGCACTATTCCACAATAGTCACTATTCCACACGAACGAAGTCGCGGGCACAGCTAGTAAATAATAAAACGTTTATTAACGCTTCATAGAATTAACACAGTGAAGCCCTGGCTCTTGTACTAGGTATCCCTGTATCACAAGAGCCAATTGTGTCTCATATCGGTGCGTTTAGCAGTTAAAAGCTGACTATCATCATCATCATCATATCGTTCCTTATTCGCTTCACACGATACTCAAGGTAGGATTGTATATGCAAACTCTACCGGCATGGCAAATTAATAGCAACAAAATTTACAAAAAAGATGCAAATAGATAAAATCGGTTTCACCCCTCGAGCGTCCTTATGAGCACCCGGTGGTCCATAAGAAAAAATGCTTCATGCTGCTTTCTCTTTTATAAAATCTATTATTAATGTTTTTGTTTTTATTTTGACTGTATTTTTTATGTCTATTGTAATAATTCTTGTTTTCGTGTGAAAATGGCCAAATAAATGCATTTTCTTTCTTTATTTCTTTCTTTCTCCAAATGTCACGTGTGCACCCGTTGGATCATAAGGAACGCGGACGCTCGACGGGTTAATGTACAGCCTCCCCAAAACAGGCAACGTATAGCTAACGCCATCTATGTAATTTATACCACGCTACAACTTTGACCACAATAAGCGACATCTACGAATGCTGCTAGGTAAGGTTCTGGCTACTCTTTTCTGTCTCACAAAATGAATTGTCTTTATAAGGAATCATTTTTATGCCAAACTGAACTGCATTAGGTAGAGGGCGCTACTGTTGAGTTAGAGCAGATTGCACAGAAAAACGTTCGAGTTGAAAATATCTTAATGGAATGTTGTCCTTGCCATAGTATAAGTATATCAGTAAGTGAAATAAATTATTTATCTAAACATTTATTTAAACTAATTTGAAACCTTAATGCCATGAAATAACGTTAAATTGACCTTGCTTTATGTAGAACTGGTTATGTATTATGAAGTCTAACTACATAAGTACCTGTACGGAAGTGTAGGCCTTAGAAAATAAACTTTCTGTTTCAAAACATTGCCTTCATTTTCTTCATTTGATCTGTAAGAAAAATATTAATGTTACAATTTTACAAATACGTGCTTAAAATTTTTAGGAAAGGTATTATATTTGTGATAGATTAAAAATTTTCAGAAAAGGTTTAATAATAATGATGGATCAAGGAGTTGGAAACGCGCGTGGTGTCCGGCAGAGGGCGCAAATAGCGTACAACACAAGCACTAACACCAATGCCGCGAACGCGCAAGCGGCTTATGAGGTAGAGTCCCACTGTGACTCGAAACTTGTATCTAGTTTCTTTTGCCGCTCTGTCATACCATACTAAGTGACGCTCTAGTAGAGCTTTTCGCAGTAGGTATTATATTCTGCATGTCTCACAACAGTTATTATAAAAACAAGGCATGGCACCTTTATTATGTCAATTTTCTCAATTTTACGTTTAAATGTGAAAAGAGTTTAATACGTTAGTTGTTGAAGTCTACGATGGATCAAGAATTCACAAAATAGGTCATAAAGGTGTTTTTTTTAAGGAGGGAAAATCATCGATTGACTGCTCCCGCCTGGGTGAGACGGGAGGGAGTGTCAGACTCTTACTGACTAAAAAGCACCCCGTTCCTTCTACTGCACGTCTCGAGCCGGAGCCCCGGTTACCCGTTAGGTTCTCCGCGACTCCGAATCGGCATCGGCCCTGCTAGGCCCCATCTGTGGTGGTCTGATGGCTCTTTGAGGCGCGCGCGGAACGCTACGCGCCGTACGCTCGGGTCTGTTTCTGGTCGGACGGGGAGCCACCCATGCTCGCCGTCCGCAGGTCCGCGCTTACGGTGGCCGGAGATCGTGTCGTAAAGGTATACGATTCGTATCCAAAAGCGATCGCTTACTCTGCTTACCATCAGGTGGTCTGTCTGCTCGTTTTATTGAGTATTTTGGAATTTTATGAATAAATTTTTATGGAGTAGAGGTGTAAACGAGCATATAGACGAAAATGTAAAACTTACGATTCCTGCGATACATTTCTAGAATTAATTAAAGCTACGATCATGGCCACCATCTGTGCCTTCTGGAGGTTGACGGCTAACACCTTGGGGTTGTTGGGGTCACTGCCCGCCGCCCTCAAGGTGGTGGGGGCAGCCTTCATCACGTATATGTCAGCTTGTGGGAGCTGCTGTGTTACTCGCCAAGCCTAAACAGAACGTAGTGTTTTAAACCTGGGTCTAACTAAAAGGTAGGTAGGCACAGTATACTTAAAAAAATCATAATTACTTTTAATACTAAAGCAGTGTCTCATTGATAGCAAGTTCTATAGTTTCAGAACGAGACAGTATAATTGATATTTTGCGTTAATATTATAACTGTTATTGATTAGTTTTTTTCCCCGTGGTTTTCCCAGTGGGCTACAACATGGGGTTCTTCAAGAGGGGAGTGAATAGGTTTCTTAAGGTTCGGCAAGACGCATGTAATGCCCCAAGTGTTGCAGGCGTACATAGGCCACGGTAACCGCTTACCATCAGATGGGCCGTGCACTTTTTTGCCAACGTCGTGGTTTAAAAAAAAAATCAGTAATAGGCGGCGCAAATGACTACAGTCAACTTGGGTCTTCTGGTCGAGCAGCAAGCTATCATTGCTCGCCCTCATATCATGTAGCTTAGCTTGACAATAGCCATAGAGGATCTCTGTCATCTTATACTTCTTAAATACTATTATATAAAGCGGAAGAGTTTGTTCTTTTGACTTTTTGTTTGAACGCGCTAATCTCCGTAACTACAAGTCTGATTTGAATAATTATTTTTGTTTTGGATAGTGCATTTATCGAGGATGGCTATAGGCTATAAAACATCACGCTACGACCAATAGGAGCTGAGCAGAGTGTGTGAAACCGCGCGGAAGTAGCTAGTATTACAATAAAATTCGGTGAATGAGAGTCAGAATTGCCAATTATAAATAGTCCAAGCTAAGATTATAAACTGAGGTATCCTCTTTGTTGCTGGTGCTGCAATCACTTGGCCAGCGCGCCAGTCATATTCAAATATAAAATCACAAATTACTCACTTAAAGTTAACACCTGAAGGAACAACATAATATGGGCCATGACAGTGGAAGATTTGCTCTCAACAGGAATCTGTCAGCATTCAAAAGCTTAAAATAAAATTACTTACGATATCCAATATGTCTGTGATTTGATACCTCTTGCCCTCCGGATAGTCTATGCCAAAATACTTCCATTCTAGAACTTCATAGCTGCTCTTGTCTATTAACGTCCAACTGACTGAGTTTACTGTTATGTACACTGATGATACTGATTTACATTCCTGCAAAGTGAAAAAAATATTTTTTATTTACAATTTTTACAATTATTTACCCCCTCCATCCCCCTTGTCAGCAAGAGTAAGCAAAGATCTTCCCCCTTTGCTTACATAAACATTTTAAATTATATCTTTTTATATTGTAATTTTAATATTCTCTTAGATTAGATACTAGTTAATAATGTTCAATGAACATGTCATTCCGGAGCCAATTGTTCTCAACGGGTCGCCTCTCGAAGTCGTTCAGGAATACATCTACCTAGGACAAACACTGCAGTTTGGTAGGAACAGCTTCGAAAAGGAGGCCCGTAGAAGGATACAGCTTGGCTGGGCAGCATATAGAAAACTTAATCAAGTCTTCTCGTCTCAGATACCGCAAAGCCTGAAGACAAAAGTCTTCAACGAGTGCGTCCTTCCAGTAATGACATACGGAGCCGAGACGTGGACACTGACAGTGCGACTGGTCCACCAATTTAAGGTCGCGCAGCGAGCTATGGAGAGGGCTATGCTCGGAGTCTCTTTGAAGGATCGAATCCGAAACGAAGAGATCCGACAGAGAACCAAACTTATCGACATAGCCCAAAGGATCAGTAAGCTGAAGTGGCAGTGGGCCGGTCACATTTGTCGAAGAACCGATAACCGTTGGGGTAAACGTGTTCTAGAGTGGAGACCGCGTCTGGGCAAACGCAGTGTAGGACGACCTCCAGCTAGGTGGAGTGACGACATCTGCAAGGTGGCTGGCAGTGGTTGGATGAGAAGAGCTGAAGACCGAGCTCAGTGGCGTACCATAGGAGAGGCCTATGTCCAGCAGTGGACGAATGCGGGCTGATGATGATGATGATGAGATACTAGTTCTTTGTCGGTCTTTGCTTGTAATTTATAATTTTAATATGAGGGTTGCCATTCATGTAAAAAGTAAATAACTACCGATGACGTAATCATCATCTAGACGCCCTTACCCCCATATCATCCAAAATAAGCAAAACAGAGATATGGTGCTTATGTAATACTTGAACGACCCCTATCCTATTTTTTTTTTTTTTTAAGGAGGGAAAATCTATCCTATAGATTGAATGCATTTACAAACAGACCCAGGTCCACAATCGAGAGAGCGCTCTAGACAAGAACCTTATAGACAATCTTATTTTTTTGGCGCCACCGTCACTCTATAAGCAGTTAGGCAAACTCTCGCGCCGCGCTTTTGTGGCCTGGCGCCCTAGACACTTGCCCAGATTGCTTTAATACGTTGTTGATATATCATACCAATCATGGGTTGGCAGGCCCTTGTTCATACAAAAGTAATCTCTAAACATCGGAATCAAGGTCTACAATGGAGTTAGTGGGAGTCACCGCTGACCGCTTGAGGATTGAAATGAAGGCTAATACAGCTCTGTCCAAAACAACCAGATCACACAAACAATAAGAATGATGACAGTGTAGGACTCCTGTTTGAAGCAATCTGAACGGCTCCCAGCAACTTTTTTAATTTCTTTTACCCTACATAGAGGGCCACAGCTAATAATGATAATTAATTACCTTCGAAACACTATCGTTTAAATACGGATGTAATATCTGCCCCTTAATTTTGCCATTTGTCTTCTTTTCTTTAGATGGACCGCTGAGTATGCTTCTGAATAATTTATTGGCAGTTTTCTCTGAAAATCCATCTATGTATTCTATGTCGGATAACGATTTCATCTGTCCATTACTACTTTTCCATTGTGAGAACCTCTTTAGATTGGCTTTGCTTACTTCGTAACTGTAAAAGAAAAAGTTTTACAATGTTTTAAAGACGTCTCTTTATGGTTTATTTCATAATATTTACAAACTGTGAGTCAAATGATCTTAACAAAACTTTATTTAATGAAGTGAGAGAAAACTTAGATGAGAAACGAAAATTAATTATATTCATTTAATTAACAAAATGTTACCTCGAGAGAATATTATCATCTGAATTATTGATAACTTGCAAGATTTTTTCCTTTTCTATATCATTGTATTTCTGGTCTAATCCTTCGCTAAAATAGCATGTTGAGATTACAGGTACTCGGCAGCTCAAGCACAGTGGACTCTGAAAGTACTTCCTATTTAGCATATTTATTTATTTTATACATTACGATATCAATATAACATAACCAACCAATATTCTTTTCGACGAATTTACGACGTTTAACATCATTTTATTACAATACTTATATAGTTGTTGACTTAATCATAAAACAATTATGATATGTTTAACAGTTTAAAGCTTTAAAATGAAACTATCATCATTTTAGTAAAAATAATTCAAATTGTTTACTATTTTCATAACCTCAAATTTTAAGATTTCGACATTCGATTCATGTCAACGTCAATTTGACACACATGCATGAGTGACAGTGACAGACCCTGATTAGAAACCATAAAACCACACGTTACACAAAAAAATCTTTGTTAATATTTTTGGAATCATAAAAATATTCAGTTAATTATGACATGATTACATTGTTTTAAACTTTAAAAAATCATTGACGCCACGATTATTCGTTTTGTAATTCATGTTGACATATTAGAGACATCTGTTAGCAAGAAACCAAACCAAATGCAGCAAGTGGCATATTATGCATGAAGGTTCGATAGGTACAATAAAAAGCTTGTTCAAAATATTCGCAACAGATGCCACTAGTTTTGGACAGAGAACATTAACATTTTGTGCTAATAATACAATATCGTAGTCCTACCTATTACCACGTATTACAGTCCTACGTGCGTAACTGAGTAGGTTGTTTTCATGATATATATTAGTTTCATAGTGTATTTATTTCAATAATTGCAAAGTTATAGGTACCTACCTATAGCTATAATATATCTTTTTCGTAAAATACAGAACCTACCTATAGATATGATATATCTTTTTCGTAAAATACAGTGCCTACCTGTCTAGGTAAACACTTACCCACCTCTTCATTTACCAATTTAGCAGTTCTATATACCTAGGCATCATAAATTCTACTCGGATGAAAATTCATTGTGAATTGTCAGAAGCATCAACCTTGAGATGGTAGATATGGTATCCACTTCTGTCAGTTCTGTACCTTTTGCGTGGTATCTACCTGTTCCATAATTATGTACTACTTAAAGACAAAAGTTAAATGACATTTATTTGGACAATTCAAAATTGGAAAACAACAAACAAAAGACTTGAGAACAAATGAGTTGGCGGATGACAAAACGTCAAAATTAGGTACCTATGTATTTTTAGATGAACGAAAACATCAAAGTATTGACCTAGGAACTTTCAGAAAGCGATTTTGTAGATGTGAATAATTATACGAGACACCTACTGATCAACGCAACAGTGAAGGAGTGAGCATAGAAGAAGTAAAACATACAAATAAAGAATAGAAGTAAGTTCGCATAGCAGGTTACAGTAAACGTGTACGTGTCAGAACAGGAAAACAACACATCTTTGTCTCGCTTCGACTCGCGAGCCGTCGCATCACAAAATGGCGCCGACTGCCCATCGACATTCACCGTGCGGCTTCACGCACACATCGAACAATTTCGCATTTGACGATCTTCTTTGCTTCGAGAGAGTTTGCTCACGACGACGCTCATTCTGTTTTACTGCTAGACTGCACTTTTCTGAAGACTATTAGGTGAGTTTTGCTTTGCCTATTTGTTTACAAATTCACATATGATTTGAAATAAACATTTTCAATTGACCTTCAAAGAAAATAATTGGAAACAATTCTTCTGTCAAATCTTCTGTGACTTGACTTGTTCAAGGACGACCATTCATTGACTGTGGTCTCTTCATTCCAAGGAAGGGCGTTAAAAAAAGTTGGTCCTAAATAATTTTTTTGAGTTACTACAATTGTTAATTGTTGTTAATTCAAAAACTCAATCAAAATTATTCCAAGATCGGCATAGGTACCTAATAAGTAGGTATCTACTTATACCTACTTATGTATATCATATCGGCCGAGTAGATATGGCAACGTCGCACTTCTTTATTCAACCAACCAGCATAAGTTGGTATTTGGTACGCGGTAAAATGACCCGACGTTGATAATAATGTTATAAAAATTCGTTTTATTTTACCATTGTTTTAGCTGGCCTAACTGTACTTGCCTCAACTTCAACGTGGCACCGGCATAATTTAGTACTTCCTAAATACTATTTCTTGTACCTAGACTAGCGAGCATGGCATTGACTACAAAATTGATATGCTGGCCTGGCTGGTGGGCAAAGCCGTCACGAACTTGTTTGTGCAGTGTTGCCAAACCGCTGGCGCTGGGCGCTGCCACTCTGTTATAACGTTACCTATCTCTACTTACTCATACCTCTATTTCTGCCTTGTATGATAAGGTTCTTGTTCAATCGGTACGTTTCATTTGATAGGTACTGAATGTTTCAGATCCAGACTTTTACTTTAATCCATTTCCTACGTTACACTTTCTAAGAAAAGTTTTATTATGAGGATAGGACCGATAATGAATTAATTATGCATTTTCATCTTTATTAGGCATGAGAACCTTGGGTCTTCTACACCTTGTTCAATATTTTTGTCAAACGAAGGAAAAATGTCATGGAAATGTTTTATTTTTCAGCCATTTTGTTTATGTCCAGCATATGAAGAGACTGACGTAGCGTCTTCGTCTCGCTTACTCCTAGGTCATTCCGAATGTTCAGCATCGTTTTGTCTTTGTTTTTCGCCGGTTTCGTCTACTATGTGTACGAACATAGCGTCAGTACTTGTTGACAATAATAAGTATTATTTAAACGATAAGATTATACATATAATTAGATATAGGTATGTACAAATATATAAATAGATAATTTTCTCATAGATACCAAAAACAAATTTTGAAAATGAAAATCATAGTCGTCCTGTATCATTTAGTTCAGTTCTTCCTTATTATTTTGTTTTCTGTTATTCGCCCTATCAGGTGGAAAGTGGAAACACATTAATTTTCAAAGAATACTAACCCACTTTTTGGCTTGTCAGATCTCGGAAACATTCACTGTTTTCCGTCCACTGTCGGCTCACTTAGCACGCTGGTTATGTATGGTTCAACCAAAGGAGTAATGAATGACGCGCTCACAGTTTCGATACACTCGGGTGCAAAGATTCTACAAATTATGACATAATAACTTACAATTTTTTTCGCTTGTTTTGTAATTAATTTTAATTTTTTCCTTGTTCCTGATTTTTAAAGAAATACAAAGATTCTTTAATTAAATCATAATGGGACTAAACTTGGAACAATGGGCGGTGTTCAGAGAAATACACCTACTAAACTTATTAAAAGCCTGTCAGTAGCATTGCTGTGTTTCAGCCTAGGCAAAGGCAAGGCGAATATTATGTGATCATTTTAGCATATTTTACAAACATTGAAAACATTCTATTTTTTATAGTGACGTATTACTGACATATAGCTCTATTCGGGTGAGTTCGGCTCCGATCGTGTGATCTCGGCAACGAGTCAAACGACCCACTCGACTCGGCTGGCAGCGTATGAACGGCAACGTCGCTTGCTCGAACAGTTCACGTTATGGAACTATTTTTGTGATATTATTTCTCTCATTTCTCACGTTTTCTTTGTTTTATTATATGTAATCATCAAAACTTATTTTATTTTATCAAATCATCAAAGAAGGACCAAGATTTGTACAGAACCCAACCAACCAAAAGTCGATCAAAACAGTCTTATAATTTTATTCCTCTTGTACAAATCTTTACGTAGGCACTGTTTAACAATACAATCTAGTCTACAAATAGATGCTTATTACAAAGAACCCACGTGTCTACTTAATATTTACCAAAAAGAAAATTCTTACATTTGCGCATCTTTATTAACAGCTTTATTACTCTACCTCATTGCCGAACGGCTATCATAAACATCACCTTTATCAAACAGAAACAGAAGTAGAACGCAAGAGAATGAGCCGCCATTATCGGATACGTAACATGACCTCGCTGCACACGATAATAAACAGAGTGCTAAGTATTGAGTAGACCAAGGAGCAACGCTCGCGACTGTCCGATAGTAGCTCGCTTACCTTTTCTGTTATTTGGAATGTGAGTTTTGCTATCTCGCTCTTTGGCCTCCGCACGTGTACAACGGTATCGAAACTCAGCTCTCCGTGTCGCTATACTCAGTGCCTCAGTTCGTTCGTGTTTCATCGACGCTCTCTGTCGGCAATACTCGGTAGAATGTAGCCGCCATTTTCTTCTCTCTCTATCTGCTGCTGGCAGCGGCAGTGTTGATTCGAACGCGGAATCGGACACCCGTATATTGACAGATTTTGTATTCTTCTCGTCTGTTCTTCTACAGGGTGAGCGGAAAGAAGTAAGATTTGAAAAACATTATTGTGTTTGTAGTATGTGTAGCGGAGGGTGGGGATGAGTCTCGGAAATTCAAATTAATCGCGATGGAGCGTTTCACGGGTTCACAGCGTGCGTTTTGTGTAAAAAATTACTACAAAAATGATGGATCGTGTGTCGTTGTTCGTCGCTTATTTCGTTCTGAGTTCGGTCTGCATGATCTAAATCAGTGTCCCAGTGCAAGTGTAATTAAGTCTTGGGTTGAAAAGTTTGAATCTACTGGTTCGACTCTTAACCAGAAACCTACGGGTCGTCCAAGTTCAACAAGAACAGAAGAAACAATTAACAAAGTTAGAACTTCAGTCCAAGTTAGCCCTAGGCTATCAACTCGCAAGCGGACAGCTGAACTGGCTGTACCCAGGACGTCTTTGCGTCGTATTATGACGAAAGATCTAAGTACTTTATTGTTCATTCTTCAAGTATTATTTGTTTTCTTGCATAAACTACTTTGATGACAACCTCTTCTCTATAAGACTGTTATCATCATAATAATAAAATAAGCGTGCCTGTGACTTTGACGTTTATGCTAAATGCATGGTTGTGCACGAGTGCACAATAACTTTTTTTCCAATGTCCGAGTGTCTTTATTTCGTATATCCTTTGGAAATCGTTTTTACAACTTTCTACTGTACAACTTGTCCTTTTTGGAAAAATGAAAATCTCAACGTTTTACTTGAAGTTATGTATCAATAATTCCATAAAAATGTTTCTAATTTTTTGTTTCTGGTAAGGGTATATCCTCATAACACCTGTCAAATTGATTCAAGCGATAATAGCCTTTATACGAATGCCGCAAGGTTTAACATAGGTTTCGCTAATTTGTCATTATTATGTTATCATTTTATATTTTTTTTGCTCTGTTTGATCGTAGAATAGATTTTTGTAGTTTTGGTATTATTTGTCATCATTATTTTACAACATAAGAAAAGGATTTACGATTACATTTCTGTGGTCCTTTTTTGACACAAAATAAAACGAGAAAAATAAGTCCATAGTGCTTGTATTTTTGTCATATTTATGAAGAACAGTCCCCAAAATACTTTTTATTTTTTATTATTATTATATGCTTTTTCGCCGACTCGACATGAGTCACCATTATAAAACAACTTAGTTCAATTCTTGTTTTTATCTACTTTTTTTTTGTGTTGAAGCGCTACGAAAAACAACGATACTAAATTTTTTCCCTGCTTCGTTCCTCATTTGATGAAGATTTTAGATTTTTCCGGGTTAAACTCAGCTTATCTCTGTGCCATATTTTATCCAGATCAGTTCAGTCATTTTGACGAGGTTTATCACCTAACCATGTTTGAACATCCATCGGTCCGGATGTTTTATACCTCTATAATCGATTTTGGTTGGCACTGGTTCGTTCAATAGTCTCCATACTGCTTTCCACGTTCACCTCGTTCCATATTATCACTAGACCTGGAGGGTTATATCTCGCTCTCTCTCTCTCTCGCACGGCTGAGATATGCATTGTGTGAATGCAACAGCAGTCTGTCACGTCTTTCGCTTGAGCATTTGGCGATCACCGGTGCAGTTGAGCTCTAAGCGAGTGGGGAATTTATTCCGGTATTTCATTCGCCATCGGATGGCGGCCATCTTGATTTGATGATCAACATTGTATATTAAATCACTTATTTACGTCAAAGCAAGACACATTTTCATGTTAATTTTCGCACCTGTGCAATTTACCTAATCTTTGATAACATTGAGATTAATTTTCATCTAAGACTTTTCGACATTCCAGCTGGTATCTGATTTTATTAGAGTTTTACGTCATGTTTTGTCAATGATAGAAGAGAATGATCCATAAATCCATTGTCATATAATTTTAAATATAATCATGGATACCTCCGTAGTATACAGCAGGGACTAGTCAAATTGGGGTGTTAGAATTAATTAGATATAAACTTATTTATGTATGCGTATTCGAGTACTGATTAGGTAATCCACAAAATAGTACCTATAACTGGATCACAAAATATGTTTAACAATTTTGCATCCACCTATATGTATTATGTATTATTTTTCTTTGGATATCTGGATTCCGCACTTGATACATTTTTTATTATTTTTTATATATTTCATATAGATATTGGCGCAGAAGATAATAATTTGCACTACTAAGTCATTCATCTCAGACTTCTTTGTAATAAAAATCTGTCTTTGCTGGATTCTCTCTTTAGTCGTATCTTCCGGATGAATATAGTTGAGGTTGAGGGGCACTTTCCCTCCTGACGGATACATAGCCTATCACCACTGATATATTAATAGTGACCTCCTATAAAGAGCAATCACAATCCATTCTCATCTCGAAATCGATACGATATCCTTCTCTTACCGTCGCCGTGGTCGGTTAATAGGGCAATGACCAATAAAACTTTTATTTTCCGACCTAATAGATCAGGGTCAATGGCGACTCAGAATATGCGTGAAGCATGTAGGCTAAATACCAATTAAAATCGTTGTAGAAAGAAATTTGTAGGAATTTGCACGACCAAAATAAACCATCCCATTTCAAAGAAACTGATTTTGTTGCTATTTTTAGATCATGAATATTGATTTGATCATTCATTAAAAGTCAAATGGGATGCTATAAAAATGTTTGATTTCTTTACCACCTAAATTTTTTTGACATTTCGTCTTATCCCAAGTAGGTTTACCTGTTCTAATAAATGCCACTTACCCTTCGACCCAGTCATTACGTAACTGTTTCAGGTTCCGTAATTTCGCAACATTGTTTTAAATATTCTGATCCTGAGCTCTTTGTTAGTTAGAAGCCGGATTACGTCCGTCTTCGTCGGCAGGGCGTAGCTTAACCAATTCTCTCAGGAATTATCCTTGCATCCCATTTTGAATCGTTAGGTTTGATGCAGTAGGTACTTAGATTATCAAGCGCCTCTTCTTGTTAAGAGTGTCTTGTATTGACATTTACGTAATTTGTGTGGGCATTCTCTACCTACAACAAGTATTCGTAACAAATTCTCGTTTTGATTCAACGGAACGGTCTACTATTTTTGGGGAAGGTTGACAAACTCCTTTTTTTTGCCAGGTGCCACTCTAATTCGATTTTCTGAGTTTGTTTGTAAAAGGTCTAATGGTTCGTATTTGTACTTATGGTAGTGGTAAAATAACGTTTCTCAAAATGTTCTACGTTCTATGATTGTAATGAAATGAGATTTTTTTGTTGAAGCTTTCTCACATTTGGTAATTTATTCGTTTTTTCTGATTTTTCTATTAATATGTAGATGGACAGATGGACCATGCAATAAATATTATCCAGATACATATCTCCATAAAATAAAATGAAAGCGTATTTTCTATAGGCGTGTAAATATGCTCCTAATTTCCTGGATTTGATTGATTTTTATTTTGTAAGGGAAGCCATTGATCATACACGGCGTTCCGTTTCGCGCATGCGGTATCGTGATGTCTGCGTCGTTTACGCTTGATCGTAAATGAGCTATCTAGTGTTCCCCAAACGGTCTGTGTGGACTTTATCACGAAACGAAACGTTAGCGCCTCTGCGTTGGGTCTGCTCGGTCGCGCGGTACTTGAAGTTTAGAATTATTTCTCATAGATGGCGTAACTTGTAGAGTAAATATACTGTCAATGTCAATGTACTGTCATGTTGCGGCTAGGGTTAGTTTACGAATTACGGAATTTGTTCTTGAATTAAATAATAGCTATATTATATATCGACGGTATATTCACGAAATTAACAGGTTTTTTTACATAAGATAGGTATAATGTAAAAATAAATTACTCATTCGTTTTCTATTCCTGTTTCAGGTGCGGTGTCGGCTTTTGCAAAACAGGGAAATGATAAACAATGCAATTAATTATTGACTCTGAGCCTGGTCTAGCCATAGAAAAAGATATGTCTGCGATCGACGATATTGAGAAAGTTGGAAATGGCAATATTGAGCAACTTAATGAAAATAACTGCAACGGAAACAAAGAAAATATTGGAGATGTTAACATAATTACAAATGATCAAATAGACAAACAAAATATTGATGCGGATGTTGTACCCGAGACGCAGAGTGAAATAAAATCAGTTAATTCGGAACCGGAGAAGACTAATGGGCTTGAAACGAAAGAAACTGAAAAAATTCATGAATCTGTCGCAAATGGTAAGGAAACAAAAGAATCTCAAAACAATAGCTGTAATGGAAAAAATGAGAGCACCCCTCTCAGTGCAGAGCAACCGATTGAAAAAAAACAGGAACTAATTGTCTGTGAAAGTATTACAAGTAATAGTAATGTGCACAATACAGACCAAAATAAAGATTCTGGTGAAGAAACTACTGATGTTAACAATGAAACATCAACAAAACCAGTAACTGGTGATGAATTAACATCTGCTGATAATATTGTAGCAGTAACTAATAATGATGAAGCAGCAACTGATGAAGTTGAAGCGGCAACAGATAAAATTGAAGCAGAAACTAATAATGTTGAAATGTTAACAGATGATGTTGAGGCAGCATCTAATGAGATTAAAGCAGACACTGATGAAGTTGAAGCAGCAACTGAAAATGTTGAAGCGTTAACTAAGAAGATTGAAGCAACAACTGATAATATTGTAATGGTAACTGATGATGCTGAAGCAGCGACTGATGCATTAGACAGTAGTGAAATTGTAACTGACACAGTCGATTTAAATAAATCAGTACCTGAATCTGCAACAGTTAAAGTAGTAGAAACGGAAGTAGCAGTACCTAGTCCTAAAGATGATGTTGAAGTCATTGAAGAACCAGTGAAAATAGATAAGGATTTGCCTGACGTTATGTTGTCTAAAGAATCAGGAAATACGAAAAATAATAAAAAACTGGATTTGCCAGGAAATAACAAGAAAGATGAAGACAGCACAATGATGGTGGACATAACTGACACTGAATCTGGTACAGTTGTATTAAGCAATGAAGCTCCAATTGAGGTAAAAGATGACATGGATGTAGAAGTTATTGAAGATACAAAAAATTGTGAACAAAGTTCTGAAAAACAAAGTAAAGATACACCTAGTACGCCTAACAATATTGTAGAACAACCCGTTGTATGTAAGTTATCAAATACACTAGATATTTTGTCTGATGATGACGATGAGGAACCTCCAAAAAAAGAACCTGCTAAGGTAGAAGAAAATATTGAAAAACAATGCATTAATATAGAGGATGATGATGATATTATGCTCATTGATGAAGACTCAAGTAAGACTGAAACACCTCCAACTGTAAATAATAGTATTAAGGAGAATGACTCTGACAAAGCTGATGGTAAAACTGATTCCGAAACTGGTGAAAAACCTCTTGAAGAAAGTGACTTATTTGCAAAAAGTGAATCACAAGGTTAGTACCTATTTTTATTTGTCAGACTATAAACAACAACTACTATCATTTAAATAATAGGCATATTTATATTTATTTACCTATAGATTTATTATTTATATCATAAAATAACCACCATTGTTATTCTCATTTCAGGTTCAAAACCTGCGGAAGAAGCAAATAATATAAGTGAAAAGCAACAAGAAGAAAAACTGCAGACAATCGAACCAGCGCTACCCCTCATACCGGATAATTTTCTAAAATCAGCCAAAAAGAATATTGCTGACATGACAAGGGAAGATTTGGAAGAATTCTGTATATTGAAAATAGTAGAAAGTATTGTGGATAGAAGCAGTTTGAGTGATATTAAACAAAAACTAAAATCTGTTGCCCAAGGTGTTGAAGAGTACAGGAAAAAAGTCAGTATGCTCACAAAGCAAAATCTAGATCTTCAAGTGGTTTTAAAATCTATTCAGGAGGAACAAAAAAAGGTGAAACCAGACACTCCTATTACTCCTCTCAAAATAACTCGGTCCGTGGGCATGCAAGTGTTTATGGAAAAGACTGCACAGAGACGGAAAAATATTACACAAACCCAACAGACTCAAAACCCCAATAATACCACACAAGTCATGAGCCGCCAAGGAAAGGTAGTGACACCAGCAAACACAAATAGCCCTCGACCCCAGAAACCGCAGCCCAATAACCAGAATATACCTGTACCTAGGCTAGTGCCAGCCAACAGCCCGGCTATAAAATCTCCAAGTTCTATACCTCTAGTCAGTCAAACAACTCCAGGGAAAACTAGCAGTCCCATGCCAAATGGAGTGAAGAATCCCTCACCCCTAAAAGCTGGTGAAAAAAGACAACACAGCAGAGTAACATCTGTGACAGTGGATTTAACTGATGATGAGCCACCAGCAAAAGTGAACAATCGCACATCACCAGCACCTCCAGTTAGAGTAGTTCCATCTCAGAATCTAATGGCTGCTCCAAGACAATCAATTCCAGTAGGTGTTAATAATAGTCCAAGAAAAGTTTACATACCTATTAGTGGTCAGCAGAATCAGAATATCAGACCTGGACAGACTATTATGTTAAAAGCTGTTGGATCACCAGGTAAGTTGTTTTAATCCCAATACATAATGTCAATTGACTAATGATCATCACAGTTTATGACAGCAAATAATTTTGTAAGTACCTACTTATCTGTTCATTTATTTTTCAGGTTTAAGGCCTAAGGGACCGACTTCTCAAGTTGCAAGAGTACAAAGTAGTTCGATTAGAATGACCAGCAATGTGAGGCCACAATCGTCAGGAAGACATCCAGCTCCTCTACCCGACGCAATGAAGCAATACCAGCCACCAAACTGGAAAGCATTACCACCAGCACCAGAAATCAAATTGTCTAAAGTGGAGAATGGAATAGTCATATCCTGGAAAATTGAGAGTTACCAAGAAGACTGTCATGAGGAGATAGCAAGCTATCAATTGTATGCATACCAAGAAACATCTTGTCCCCCAAGTACAACATTATGGAAAAAGATTGGAGATGTCAAAGCATTGCCTTTACCTATGGCATGTACTTTGACACAGTTCATGGCTGGATTCAAGTACTACTTTGCTGTAAGAGCAGTAGATATCAGGTCCCGACTGGGCCCATTCAGTTTACCCGGGAGCATACTCCTACTGAATAAATTGTAAGACTGATGTTGTGAATGGACCATGCTAAATCCTGCAATGTCATACATTGTAGAGTGCTTACATGCGAGTGTAATTGATAGTGTTGTGTTTGTTTTAGTTAATTATTTATTATTATAATTTGTGGCAATTGTTTAAAACTTTTTGAAGAGAACTTTTTCCGTGAACTGCTCCCCACTAGTGCTATTCTTGTTATGATTTCGGAGCACTATGGGACCGCGATTCGGCTGGTATACATGGTAAAATTTACATGACAGGCAGAAAGCAGGTGGGAACTGACCACCTTTATTTATCTGTGATGTAACACTTATGTTATGATTTTCCCTATTTTCCCTTATCTAATGAAACAATTGAGTCAACACTAAATGAGCCTGTTATAAATGTTTTTCTTTTAATGGTTAGTGTAATAGAAATCTCGATGATGACTGATTGATTGATCTTTTGAACAATTAAAAAAAGTAGAATGTAGCATGTGTAAAGCTAACAGTATTATTCACTCAATACCCAACTGTTGTTGTTTGTAAAGTGGCAGGTATCTGTCAGTTGTCATAACCATGTAAACAGTCCTAAATTCTTGTAATGGTAACATTAACAGATACCCGCCACTATAAAGTAATAATTGACAAATCGAATGTTAAGGTAGATGAATGAATGAAGAGTTACCCTCAACTGGTTTAGTTGGAAAATATGATTTTGAACACACTTGAATTTGAACCGTTGAACGGAACGTTCATATTTTTATTGTGAAAATTATATCGAAGAATATCAAAATAATCATCGTTTTATTTCTGAGTTGAGATTGAGTTCTTACAACTCAGAAGTGGGATATATACAAAACGCCCACGAGTTTCGAAAAATACAAGAAACCCGCGTGTTTTGGAAAATATTGCTATGGACCGTGATTGTAACCAATCTCATAGGAGCCGGTCCTGTTTTACTCCACCTATTTTGAGTGAGAAACGCAAACGTCGCCACGATAATGAAGCCAGTGCGAAATGCTTGAGCAAGAAGAAACGTCGCAGACACCATAGAAGCAAGCCTAGCGATTCAAGTGATCAGGGTAGGAGGAGTCGACCTCGAAGACGAACTGATAGACGGCGTCAACGAAACCGGAAACGTAGCTGCGAAGCTGAGCGTCGTTCGTGCCGAAACCTGTTGATGGAGCGGAGTGAGAGTGAACAGGACGAGAGAAGTAGATCCCGAACACGGACTGATAGTCGTCGTCGGCGGAGTCTAAAAGGTAGCTACGAGGCTGAGCGGCGCGCGCGACGAAGCAGAAGTCGGAGGGGGCCACCCCGCCGAAGCAGCTCATCGAACACCACAGTAAGTAATGAATCACGCGGAAATACCCAGGTAAGCAAATCTATGTTTGCTAATAGCGAGACTCAATTATTTTTGAACGAATATTAAAAATCCTGTCAGCTACGAAGCCAGAAGGCAATAAATTTCCATTGCTAGGCAATGTTATCCCTGAATTTGATCCAATGGTCAAAGGTCAGACAATCCATATGTGGCTTAATAAAGTTGACGAATGTGCAAAGTTGTACCGTTGGGGTGATGATCAGGTCATTCATTACGCACTGCCTAGACTTTCGGGTGTCGCTCGCACATGGTACCAAGCGTTGCCTTCAATGTCATTTTCGTGGTCCGAGTGGAAAAGTAAATTAATTGATTCCTTTCCTAGTAGTGACGATTACGCAGAACTACTTACCGAAATGTTGAATAAACGCGTGAAGTACAGTGAATCGTTAGAATTATATTATTTTGAAAAATTAAACCTACTGAATCGATGCGAGATTTTCGGAAAACGCGCAGTTGATTGCCTACTCTATGGCATTGAGGATCGTTCCTTAAGACTTGGTGCTAAAGCAGCCAAGTGCCAAGAGCCTGAAGAGGTTCTTAATTACTTTCAATCGATTAAACAAAGTCGCGAATTCGATAAGTTTAAAATTAGCCAAGACAAAAAGATCTTACCAACAAATAACTCAAACTCCAACACGAAGCAGTTAATTGCAAATGACTCTAAGACATCTAGGCCACAATCTAGTACGTCAATAACTTGTTTTAACTGCAAAGAAGTAGGCCATTTCAGTAATAGGTGTCCTCGAAAGCTACTGAGATGTAACATTTGTAAGAGGCTTGGCCACGTAACGACCGATTGCTCGCAACTGCCCAACGAAAAGAGTAAGGATACTAGTACAGAAAAGAAGGTTATGAAGGTCGATGTTGATGATACTAGTAATGAGAAATACATGGTCTTATTAAAAGTTAACGGTATTTTGGTTAGAGGGTACGTAGATTTAGGCAGTCAGTGCACATTAATACAATATAGCGTAGCAAAATCATTAGGAATTACTTGGTCAGTAGACAAGTTACCCGTTATGAGAGGATTAGGCAATAATATAGTCGTACCAATGGGAACGGCACGCGTGAAAATAGACATTAATGATATCGTAGAGACAGTCGACGTTTATATAGTTGAAGACGGCATTATTAAATATCCCGTATTAGTTGGTCACAGTTTTACAGAAAAACCCGGAATAATTATCACAAAAACTACAAATTCTTTAATCTTTAACAAAGAAGAGGTTAACAAATTGCGGCTGTTACTTAAAGTGGACGTTGAGATTCAACCGAAACAAATGACTGCGGTTCCTGTATATTCCGATAGAAGCTTCTCTGGATATATTTATGTCCGGGGTTCATTACGAGGTCAGTCTGGTAATGAATTTTACTTATTACCGGGTGAATATTTTCTTGAAGATAGCTTAGGGGCACTCCTAATACAAAATTTTAGCGACCACTCACTCTTACTAAATAAAGATACATTAGTCAGTCGAGTTTACAGATCTGAAAAAAGCTTTGAGATTAACATGCTAGATTTTAGTAGTCATGACACGAGTTCCGATCTGAATTATGGTAGTCACCTATCCAATGATGAGATATTGAAGTTGCAGTCTCTACTAGAGAAGTATGAGTGCTGTTTTTCCTCTTGTTTAGCTGATTTAGGGTATACTAACATAATACAGATGGAGATAAAATTGAACGACGCAAATCCGGTGGTTTATCGACCTTATAGGCTCTCATATCCAGAACGTGAATTGGTTCGAACAATGGTAAAGGAAATGATCGACGCCGATATCGTTTGTGAGTCTAACTCACCCTATGCGAGCCCGATACTTCTTGTAAAGAAGAAAACGGGTGAGAAAAGGCTCTGCGTCGATTACCGAGCGCTAAATAACAAGACTCATAAAGAACATTACCCTTTGCCTCTGATCGACGATCAATTAGATAGATTATCGGGCAATTCTCTCTTCATCAGTCTTGATCTTGCGTCTGGGTATTATCAAATTCCTATTGCAGAGAGTTCACAAGAAGCTACGGCTTTTGTAACACCTGATGGTCAGTATCAGTACAAAAGAATGCCCTTTGGATTAGCTAATGCACCTTCAATTTTCCAAAGAGTGATGAATAAAGTTTTTTCTGATTTAAAATACGTTGTTATTTATATGGATGACATTCTGATTCCCGCTAAAACGTTTGACGATGGTTTGGCACGCTTAGAAGAAGTTCTCCAGCATTTAGCTAACGCAGGGCTGACTCTCAAATTAAAGAAGTGCTATTTCTTCCAAACGGAGATAGATTTCCTAGGATTTTGTATATCTGGAGATGGCATACGTCCCGGACCACGAAAAACAAATGCAATTTCCAATTTTCCTGTACCCAAAAACGTACATGACGTGAGACGATTTATAGGACTTGCAAGTTTTTTTCGTCGATTCGTCAAAAACTTTGCATTAATAGCGTGCCCGTTAACGAATCTTTTAAAATCTAAGTTTGAGTGGAAATGGACCGCGGAATGTACATCTGCCTTTAATATCCTCAAGGAAAAACTCGTAGAACGACCAATAATAGCTTTGTTTGATGCACGGTTAGAGACTGAATTACATACCGATGCATCAAAGATAGGCATCGCAGGCATACTTATGCAGCGAGGTAGTGATGGCCAGTTGAGGACTGTAGCCTACTATAGTCGGAAAAATTCAGAAGAGGAACAAAAGCTTCACTCTTTCGATCTCGAGACATTGGCTGTCGTTGCCTCCTTAAGTCGATTCCGTGTGTATTTGTTGGGTCTACAATTTAAAATAGTAACCGATTGTAATGCGTTAAGAACGACTTTGACCAAGCGAGATCTCATACCCAGAATTGCACGATGGTGGCTACAGTTGCAGGAGTACGACTGTACCATTGAATATAGAGCAGGATCACGTATGGCTCATGTGGATGCCTTGAGTCGTGCTCCGGTAACTGAACACACCGACGATACTGACACACATGTAATTGACGTTTTACAAACAGAAACAAACGATTGGATTGCGACTGTACAAAGTAACGACGAAGAAATAAAGCGAATTCGAGAAATTCTTCTCGACGATGAGACGAAATTCGTTGCCGATGTACGTAATAATTATCAACTGAAAAGTTCTCGACGATGAGACGAAATTCGTTGGGTGGTTACCGAGGAATTCGTTGGTGGTACCGAGGGTGTTAGGTGGCAAGTTGCGTATGAATCACGACCATGTAGGGCATTTTGGTTTTGACAAAACGTTGAGTAGGTTAAAAGCAACGTTTTGGTTCCCAAAGATGCGTCGATTTACAAAGAAATATGTATCGTCTTGCCTACAATGTGCACACCACAAAGTACCATCAGGCCAAAAAGAAGGGTTATTACACCCTATCCCAAAGATAGAAATCCCGTTCCATACATTGCATGCGGATCATCTTGGCCCGTTTATTCGTTCTAGAAGGGGAAACATGTATATTTTAGTGATCGTAGATGCATTCACAAAATTTGTTAATATACGCGCAGTAAGAGATACGAAAACCTCAACTGCAATCAAAGTATTTCATGAGTATTTTAGTTATTTTGGTACTCCATCTAGACTAATTACAGATCGAGGTTCATGTTTTACTAGTGGGAAGTTTAAGGAGTTTATAGACAAACTAAACATAAAACACATATTGAACGCGGTAGCCACACCTAGAGCAAATGGGCAGGTCGAGAGGTATAATCGTACCATATGCGATGCGTTGAGTACTAAATGCCATGGCAACAATGAAAATACATGGGACAATTATGTAGGAGACATTCAATTAGGAATGAATACCACTGTCAGTAAAGCGACAGGAAAAAGTCCCTCAGAATTATTATTCGGATTTAAATTAATTTCGACATCAGAAAACATATTGGGAGACGCAATTTCTGAAACGACTCAGTTAGTTAGTGGCGACGACTTGATACAATTGAGATCCGATGCCAAAGAGAAAATCGATAAGGCTCAGGAAAAAGCGAAGGTCAGGTTTGACAAAAATAGAAAGCAACCAAAATCGTATAGTGTAGGAGATTTAGTTAGAATTGAAAGGACGGTCATTGATAAAGAGCATCAGGGTAAATCTAAAAAGCTTATGCCAAAACTTCAGGGCCCGTACCGAATCGTCAAAATTTTACCCAATGATAGGTTTGTAGTCGAGGACACCCCACTAACTAGGAAAGGAAACAAACGATACGAAAACATTATAGCAATTGATAAGATTCATCCCTGGTTAAATTTTAATGATTACTCCAGTGACGATGGCGATGAGAATGATAACAATGATAGTGAAAATGACAATGAGTAATGGAATAATGAGATTTATCTAGGTAGTGAATTAGTTGATGAATTCTATAATATTCTTTTATAGTGGTTTAACTATTTATTACGTTGTTCTTGTAATAATAATGTAATGATATTAAATAAACGAAGTATGAATTATTGAGTTGATTAACAGTGTTACACATAATTATGATTATGATGAACTTGATTATCGATATGGAATTTATTCAGATTGAGATTAAATGGTTAGTGCTAATAATGAATGAAACCGTGTTATAGTTTCGTAAGGATTATGAATATTCATTGTGAGCACAGGCTATGGAGCAATCAGTACAGAAACGAATGTTACCAAGTAAATGGTATCGTACAGATGATTGTAAACCATAGCAGACCGTGCAAGATGTGTGTATGTTTAAGTTAAATTTATTATGAGCATAGGCTATGAACAATCAGTACAGAAACGAATGTTACCAAGTAATTGGTATCGTACAGATGATTGTAAACCATAGCAGACCGTGCAAGATGTGTTTAAGTTTAAGATAGATTTATTATGAGCACAGGCTATGAACACTTGAACAGTCAGTACAGAAATGAATGATATCTAGTAATTGGTATCGTACGAATGATTGTAGACCATAGCAGATCGTGCAAGACGAATGTATTTAAGATAGTTTCACTGTCAGCATAGACTATGAGCAATCGGTGCAGAAACGAATGATATCGAGTACAGAAATCACACAAACGATTGTCTATCATAGTGGACCATACGTGATGAGAATTACAAATTAAAATATAGTTGTCTGTGATTGTATATAAAAATGTATAAATTCATGTTCATGTAACTAAATTAATATAGAGATTTATTATTGTATAAATGTTAAAGATGTTTACTTTAGAATATTTTTTTTTCTTGAAGTGAGAGGACTCACTTGTTGAAGGATGGCCGAATTGTAAAGCTAACAGTATTATTCACTCAATACCCAACTGTTGTTGTTTGTAAAGTGGCAGGTATCTGTCAGTTGTCATAACCATGTAAACAGTCCTAAATTCTTGTAATGGTAACATTAACAGATACCCGCCACTATAAAGTAATAATTGACAAATCGAATGTTAAGGTAGATGAATGAATGAAGAGTTACCCTCAACTGGTTTAGTTGGAAAATATGATTTTGAACACACTTGAATTTGAACCGTTGAACGGAACGTTCATATTTTTATTGTGAAAATTATATCGAAGAATATCAAAATAATCATCGTTTTATTTCTGAGTTGAGATTGAGTTCTTACACATGGAAGTTGATAAAATTGTAAAGGCGTAACCTAAATTTGTCAGTACTATCTACAGGTATATTCCGAAGTATATTTTAAATTGTAATTCGTAATCTAGGTACATTACTGCCTGTGTAGAATGTGGATATTTCGGATTCCTACTTGTGATTACAGATTTAAAATCTACTTGTGTTTTTATTATTCCCTTGCTATGAACTAATCGTTAACATTCCTCTTAGTCATTGACCTTTTTACCACAAAAAATATTAAACAACTGGAATTTTGTCGATAAAAATATTTTTACACTAGGTTTTTCTCTTAAACGAATATAGAGCAGTGCATGTATGTATGGATTTTGTAATTAGCATCGGTAAATAGTCTAACATGATTGGTAAGTACATAAAATAAAACATTTTTTGGTTAAATTAAGCATTGTCATCATGACGACAAAATGTTTTATTCAACTCTACACATATATTCCCATTACATTTACATTGTAAAAGACTCACTTATTACTTATGTAAGTATTTAGTGATATTACCAATGAATATAAATTGTTATTTCTTAAACGGTACTAGCGCCCCTATTTGGGCCAATGTGAATTACAGATTTATTACAGATAGCAAAAAAGTTTCATTATCTGTAAATATCTTTCGTGACGTTTGGTAGGGTTGCCACCTAAATAAAATTATACTAAATTGGCAGTTTTTAATAAATTAAGTATTACGTTACCTTTATTTGTTGATTACTATTTTGTTAATTACTGATAATTTGTAATTAGAAATAAGTTGGTTTTCAATACATTTAAAATTATATACGTTATTAGACGTGAAATTTTATCAATGATTTCTTATGAGACTAACAAAATAATACACACATGTTTGTTTTATTATAACGTTATCGTTAAAATGGAACTACAATATTATTTACTACCCAGGACAGAAAATTACACGAGATGAATTGCAATTGTTAGATATTGGTTTTGTCAGGACTCAAAATCAAATCCTCCATTTACTATAAAAAATAATTACGATTATTTCTGGGATCGGTGACTGTGAAACTAAACAAAGTAGCCTTGGTAGAAATTTCATTTACATTCTGTCAACCCAGTAGTTGTCATTAATGTCAATCTGTCAGCTGTAAGAATTTTCTTCTTGTTCGGTTGGCAATGATAATGTTCCAGTTTTCTGTAGGTTCGCGAAGCGGTGGTTCGCTTGTTTGTGTATCGCAAAAATTTGAGGCATTCCAATCGAAAAATACGAAAAACATTCGATATTTTCCGTATTTGACTTGTGAATTAAAGTAGTTCTGTAAACATAATTCTAATTATTAGTTAAACTGTAATGTTTTGTCTTTGTATACTTGAGATCGTTTGACGTAGGTAGTTGACATATCATTTCGCAAGTAGTCTCACGGAGTTGGTTTATTTGTGTACAATCTGTTTCTGTGCAAGGTATCAGATTTTAGTGTTTTGTGTAAAGTGTGGCTTGTGTAATAATCAAAGGATCGAGATTCCTTAGTGTAATCGATAAATAGTGCGTGATGTGAACGTGGTGGGTAAAGTTTAATCTACTCGACGCAGTACGTGTTTAGTGTGGTATTGGTGTTTGTTTGCGGTTCCTGCGTCGTGAGAGCCATGCTGGCTCGTTCGTGTCGCTGCGACGTTGATGCACGACCGGTACGAACACTAGCTTTTAATGTTTTTTTTTTAATTGCTTGTCTTTATGGTCGGATGTGGCTGAATAGATGCTTTCCATAGCCTGATGTAGTGCAATGTGTAATAATAAGTAGTCTATCTAAGGTAGTAATCACTCATTTACTTTACAAATAGATAAACTTTACCGTTTCTATAATCTAGTTAATTGGTTGTCTCCTTACAGACATGATTTAGCAAGAGTTAACTCTAATAACTATAAAATATTTACCTTCATCATATCTATGGGTAGAAAGTACATTTAAAAACTTGAATAAAGTTTTATTTTCTGGATACCAATTATAAAGTAAGATTCCAATCAGAATCGATTACAAAATGAATATAGGTGAATATACTCAGTTTTGCATATAGATAAGATCACAAGAATATGTGTCCAAGTAGGTAATTGAAATATATGAGAAAAAAAAGAAGAATCTTATTTAAAAAGAGAATCTGTAAATTCCATGAAATAATTCCATCATTAATTGAATTCATAATCAAATAATTTTTTTTTAGTTATTCAAAAATTTTTTTTAGACTTTTATAGACCATTTAAAATTGTATGCAAGCGGGTTTTTTAATTAAGTACTGTTGGAACACAACATTTTATAAAACCTGTTTCGCTCTATGAATTTTATTAGGTATAACTGATTTTCAAAATTTTTATTAATATTTAAAATAAGTAGGTACTTATTTATTCTGCTCACATGTTAACCTCTGCATAGGTCACCAGTGACCAGTGTTTGTGTAGGATATTCTGTTTGTTGTCAACAAAATAAAATAAAATTAAAATATTTTTCGAAAACATGCATTTATGCTCATGCAAACTACAATATATGTACATTTCAACTCGATTGCTTGATTTCATTTGCAAGATTGCACTTCACATATAATATATAATTATACATACACCCATAACATCACGCCTTGTATCCCCGAAGGGGTAGGCAGAGGTGCACATTATGGCACTTAAGTAATGCCACTGCACACACTAACACCCACTTTTCACTATTTATGTTATGAGTCCCATGTGGGGTTAGCCTATGGCCATATACCGGGCACATTTCCAAACTCCGTGCTACTACTGAGATTTTAAATAAAAACCCAGTAATACTTTGCCCAACCCAGGAAGGAATCGAACCCGAGACCCCTTGTGGGCAGTGGCACTTGTGATCACTCGGTCAACGAGTCAGTCATTCATACATAATTACATACATACATTGCAATTTAAATAAAAACTCGTAAAATGAAAGACATGAAATATTAAACAATTCAATATTCAATTGTAATTACCAATTACTTTGACTACACAGACAATTTAAAATTAAATCATAATTATCTGAAACAATAATAAAAACAAAATGGACAACAACAGGATGTTTTGCCATTTATGTACAAAATTACAACCTTAAATTGATTACACTAAAAATTGAGGTAGGTACTTCACATTAAGTGATGTACATACATTTAGAAGAGTAAAAACTAAATGTTTAGTAAATTTAATTGGTTACTAGCCTGATATAAAAAATTGAACATTTTGACTGATAAGTTATTTGTACAATCGTAATTATCATTAAAAAGATTTGTCCTTATCGTTCCCGATATTAATGTGTTATCTAAATAAATATGAATAGGATATTGAAATTGTGTTTGTTTATTTGTCTGTTTTAACCCTACTTCCTAAAAAGGAAGAGTTCTCTTCCTTCTTACAGCTGTTGTCCTTTTAGTAGTTACGATAAGGCGCTCCCATACTAACGTTTAAAAAGTTACCAAACTCTAATAAGAGTGTTATTAAAATAAAATAGTTAACTAACAACACTTTCCTATAGTCAGGTAAAAAAGAACCTTATAAGAAATGTTTACTAATGTTCATTAACATTGTTAATAGGCTTTTGTTCCCATCACGTAAGTTACGGAGACATTGTTCAAAGTTTAAGATATTGCATACAAGGTTTTGTTTTAAATAAAGACATACTTATTAAAATCCAGGTTCTTAGTTCGATCTTATATTAAATTAAAGTACATAACTAATAGATTTTAAAACAACGATTTGATTGTTTGACATATTTTTCATAGGAGATATGTCAATGTAAAATGAAAAATGATCACAATGCAAAACTGGCAAACAGGTCCTGAGAATATATGCATTCAAATTGTAACCTTAAAACAGGTAGGTAAGTAGTTATAACATCTGTTCACTCGCCAAGCAGTCATCGGTGACCACTAATTTTTGGTACCGTATCTCAACATAATATAATTATGTTAAAGCCACATGCAGTAAACTCATTAATGTTTTTTTTAACGAAGCCATTGTCTTTTACACTCAGTATCAAATAAATATGAACTGTTATTGTTATATTTATTCTGTTTTGTTGCTTTGTGCTGTCTTATTTGTGTAAATGTGAGTTGTGTTGTGGTAACTGTCAGCTGTATTATTGAAGGTTATTTGTCATGTAGTTCGTACCTGCTCGATAAGTTTACTCAATCAGTTTCAAACCATGCTTGGGGCCTGTCATCATGTAAGCAGTATGTTGGTAGCAATGTAAGATATTTAATATCGAAGCATAAACAATATGTGAAGGTCGTTTTGAATTTGCCTGTATGAGAACTTTTTTAATTGTTAACTAGTTATATTCATTAAGATAGTGTAAACTGTATATTTTGAATGTCTATTGTGTTTAAAAATATCCAATCACATGTCTGCCACTGGCAGCGACGATGGTGAATGTTTTATATGTAGTATGACAGCAACTATGATAAAAAATATTTGATTTATCTAATAAGTACTTTACACCTTGTCTAATTTGAATGTCAAATGTGTTGTTTTGCTAGACACTGGACAAAATGTGGTGTACCCACTTACCAGGTGTGATCCACAAGGTGGCTGGCAGTGACGGGATGCACATTTAGCAATAGCTGAACATTTATGTTAAATGAACACGCAACATTATTATTGTTTTTCGGCTTACTCACGTAATTATTTGACGAGGTTTGGTTGGGTCGCGGAATACTGCTCATGAATATGAAGCCTCTGTCATGCCTTGAAACTAGTCGAGTTCCTCGTCAAATAATTCGAGCCGAAAAACATAATACTTTAATTACTTAGTATGTCTCACAAAGTAGGTATATAAATGGTAAAACTTTTACACCTAACTACTATTGTGTCTCTCTGCATCACCTTTTTTTTGAGGTCGAAAATCATCCAATGAACTCTTCCGCCTGGGTGAGGCGAGAGGGAGTGACAGACTCTTATTGACTAAAACCCACCCCGTACCTACTCCTGCACTTCGAGCCGGAGCCCCCGCAACCCGTGTAGTCTTCCGCGGTTCCGTATCGGCATCAGCCCTATTGGACCCCAGATGTGATGGTCTGATGGCTCCTTGAAGCGCGCGCGGAACGCGACGCGCCGTACGTTTGTGCTCTGCATCACCCTAGGTTCACTATTAGAAAATGTCACTAGGCATTAAGACCAACACTGTATAGTGCACAAAAAGTGTAAAATAAATAAAGTTCAAGTTAAGTGGCATAATATAGGAGAGCCTTATGTTCAGCAGTTGATAAAAATAGACTGATGATGATAATGATATTG